AGATCAAAATGAATGCAGGTTTAGTATGCATGTACGGAAAAATATTATTCTATGTAAATTAAAAATTCCCCACTACCTACCACTTTGCCGATTTCCAAATGTTCCCTCTATACTGTCCAATCTTGACTCTCTACGAAAATCGCGGACTTTCCAAATCTGTAGCCACGCTGCCCATTCAATTGGTTTATGAAGGGCTTCAGTCTTTCACACAGTTATATGGGATCTTATAATCAACGATGAACATTTTTATCAGCAATGCCCCCATCGGACTAGATGCCGCTTAAGAGTTGGTAAATATGTCCAACCAACTTTTCGCCGCCAGCATGGAACAACTCAATCGATAAGCCGCCAGATCCATGGGCTATGTTGTTTGAAGTGAAACTTCTTTAGCGGCGGTTGGTTGGTGGGGGGCCAAATTGGCAAATTCAAGAGAAATGGTGCAACGGAAATGGTTGGGGTTTAAACAAGTTATTCTGGAGTGTATGCGCATGGTTTGAATTTAACAAAAACTTGCTAATAAAAGGTTAAAGAATAACACTTAGAAAAAGATTAAAACAAGAATGAAAGTAAAGGTGGATACGTACAAAGATAAAGAAAAGGTTAAAGGCAAAGGTAAAAATAAAAACAAAAACAAAGATGTGTAAAGGCAAAGGCAAAAATGAGGACCAAGGTAAATTTAAATACTTTACTTATATAAGGGCAAAGATGAAGAGGAGTAGTATATAGATGAAGAAAATTATAAACACAAACGTACAAACAAAGATAAATATAAAGAAAAAGATCAAGATGATGATACCGATAAAAGTAAAGATAAAGATAGGGGAAGAAAGATTAAAATAGAGGTAATTATAAAAAAAGGATATAGATAGAGACATAGAGACAAAATCTGGGAACTATTTCGAGATTCTCGGGACATATAGATATAATAATCGATTGTTATCGATATTTTCATCGATTTTGTTATCAAAATTTTTATCAATATTGTTATTGATTTTGCTATCGATATTTTCGGAACTTATCGATATAATAATCGATATTTTTATCGATTTTGCTATTGATTTTGTAATCGATATTTTTAAGGATTTTCTTACCGATATTGTTATTGGTTTTGTGAACGATGTTGTTACGGATTTCGTTATCGATATTTTTATAGTTTTGTTATCGATATTGTTGTCCATTTTGTTATAGATTATTTATTGAGTTTGTTATAGACTTTCTTATCAACTTTGTTATCGATTTTGTTATCGATTTTGTCATCGATTATTTATTGAATATTTACGGATTTTTTTACCGATGTTATTATCGACTTTGTTATCGATATTATTATCGAGTTTGTTATCGATATTTTTATCCATTTTCTAATCGATATTTGCTATCGATTTTGTTATAGATTATTTATTGATTTTGCTATCGATTTTGTTATCGATATGTTTATAGATTTTCAAATCGATTTTGCTATCAATACTATTATCGATTTTGCTATCGAAATTTTTTCGAAATTGTTATCGGTTTTGTTATCGATATTTTGTTGGATATTATTATCGATTTTGTTATCGATAGAGTATATAAAGATAAAAATGAAAAGAAAGGAAAACAGACTAACATAAATGTAATTAGAACGAACAGGGGTAGAGGTAGGGATGTAGATAGAAAAAAAAATATATATATATAACCTTAAGCAAAAGCAGATGTACATATGTATGTATGTACATATATTGGTTATTAGACAAAATAGATATGTAACGTAAGTTTCACTTCTCCAGTGTCCAGGCACATTTACTTTTTTTTTGTTTTTATCACTTCGTCTGTGGCTGGTGGAAGTCGGTGAGCTTTGCTCTTCTTCATAAAAAGTGCCACCTGTGTCTTCTGTGTAGAATATAAGTATTTATTTATATAAATATTAAGCGACACCCGAAAACAAATCAAGGCGTTCAGAAAACAACACATATTCTACATGCCGTTCATTGTTCCTGGAACCCATAATAAAACAAGCTCGTTATGTTTTTCAACATAATTTAGTCGAGAATCGCATTGCCGAACTATTTTGGAAGTAGTTACAGGGCTGGCTAGTGCCTTGAATTGAGCTTGGCTCCTGTTTGCCCACGTAGTCCATGGCAAATACCTCAGCTTGAAATACAGCAGAGGCAAAGGTGCCGTACTATCCTGTGTCATTGAAAAGTACTTCAATTATAAATCTCTACCTCCAGAAATGTCCGCCTCATTCCACACTGTACCACACCAGCATCCAATTGTTGTAGGGATATCTCACGACATAGATGGAGGGTCTTCTCCACCACACCGCCATTGGATTACTCTGGGAGACATACCCCACGTTTTACTAAAGATCCGTTAACATTGACAGAACGTTGTTAGGATTTGGTCAGCAGGGAATCAAATACCACGCACCAGAGGAAGGGACAAGGGAAAAGGCACACTACCCTGAGGACAGTCCCAATGAACTTCGCACGTGACATATTGACCACCCTCTGGCTGAATCCTAATGATCCTCTGCGTGAGCATTAACCGTATAAAATTTACCATCACGGAATTTACGCCACGCTTTAAAGCCGAGTTGCACTTACTAACGAAGCTGCCATTAGCGAAAGCTCAAGGTCTTCAAAAATGCCCAAAGCGAATTCTTTCTTAGTCATGGCATTTGCTATTCCTAGTAACCAGATTTTTCAGAGCCGTCGCCCAAGTTTTCCACGCCTGATGCAAATACAGAGTATTTGATGAAAGCGTCTCCCTAAGGATCCACAACTAAATCAATCTCTCGAGGCGATTCAGGACAGCATGGTTTTGGGCCTGGAACTTTTAGGGCGAGTATAGTCGTCCCTACTAAACTTGGATTCTTACGCTAAGTTAAGTTTGAACTAACGACTAACACAGTTTCTCAAACTGCAGGTTGGCCAAAATACTAAGTTAAGTGCAGTAAATTAAATCTAGACTAAATGAGCTTTTACTAAGCGTATAAGTAAATACATGCATACATTTAAAAGTAATTTTCAAAGCAAAATTAAAACAGTGCATTGTCGAAACAATGTCATTGGGCAGTGATTAGCGCGGAAATTCCGCAATCGATTTAGTATTGAGTACATACATAAATATAAGTCAATCAGTGTATACTCGTATTGTAGTGCCTTTGTAGCAAATATTCGAATTTTTTATGGCAATTAGCGATGTCTTTTATATACATTTTTTTTTTTTTTTTTTTACCAAAAAGGTGAATGTCAACATAAAAAACATAGATAGTATAAACGGCGTTATTGGCTAATTTTGTTGTTGTTTGAACTCTGCTATTTATACTTCTATTCACCATGCTAGACAGTATGCACCGGATCGTGAATACCCCTAACCTTTTTATTTATGTAGCAAGACACGCGCTGCCTAAGTAATTAAAAATCAATTTTCTTTGATTGGTAAAAAAGTTTTAGTTCAATGCAAGGTCACTTTCGGTCATTCGTTTTGGGATATTCCATGCGGTTCAGCCTTTCCTTTTAAAAAGCCGATTTAGTTTCACTGATGGTGACTTCGCTAATTTTAAGCTGCTCGCTGTGGTGTCGTATGAAAGGAGCAACCAAAAACCGGTATAACGATGAACGAAGAATAAGTACAAGTACCTTATAACAAGACTCCAAAAGTCTTGGGGCAATAGGATAGGCGCGCAGATAGCAGTCATAACTTTGAAGGACTCAGAGCCGGATGGCATTTAAAAAGCAGAGCTCTCTCTCGTGGAACAAAAATCACGATCCACAAACCTTTCTTCAAGCGCGTGCTTTCATAAATTGAAGAATGTAGTTGATCAAAAGCGTGCTTGGCAATCTCAATGCCAGGGTGGGAAGGAAGGGTTTTTGGCCATATCGTCGAAAAATTCGAAAAGCCCGATAACGGGGTTAGGCTGATCGACTTCGCCGGGGCGATATTTGGTAGCATACAGTACTAGGTTCATGCATAAAAAGATGCATCAATCTACTTGGCTGTATTCAGATCAAAAAACAAGAAACCGAACCAATCATGTTGTGATATACGAAAGACACGCTTCCAGCATTTTAGACGTGCGCACACTCCGAGGGCTAAACACTGACTTGGACCACTTTATTGTTGCAGCCAAGGCAAGGGCCGCCTCTGTGCAGCAAAAATGTGCTGCCAAAAATTCAAGGAAAGCTCAACGTCGAAAAGAATTCGCCACTCGACTCTCACTCTTTGCTCTCAGAGAGCACTCTTCAACAAACCAACACATGCGAGACTGTGGTTCCAATTTTCCGCGCATTAAGTACCGCCGCCGAAGAAGTAATTAACTTTGAGCGATCCCGAATTAACAACCGGTACGGTGAGGAATGTCAAGAATTTGCAGAGAAAAATTATGTGGCCTACAGGGCCACGCTGCGATCGGGCGCAAGGCGAGCCATGTAGGACCGCGTATTCAATTTTTTCTTATAGCAATTTTTGAAATTTGAAATTTTGAAATTTTTTTTAAATTTGTTTAACTATTTCTATGCAAATTTTTTAAGCTTAAACCGTTTTGTCATTTGAGCGATTTTATTTTAATCTTTAAGAAACTATTTTCATTAATAAAAAACTTCATTTGTGGAGATATTTTCAAATCGGTCCAGCTCACGCAAATCTTAATATTTTTTCGAAATATTTTGTAATCCCGGCGGAAAAACCGCAACTTTTTTTTTGGTGATGCAATCTAATGTACATATGTATGTGCATAAATATGCAAACTCTGTCTAAACATGCGCATTTGTGTAGACATTCTCATTCATATATCCATTAAATTACAATGATATAGACAAATAATCTAA